TAATTACATTTTCTGTTTTATGTGAAGTTCCAACATTATCTTCTGGAATATTCGTTTTATATGTTTATAAACCATTATAAACAATCTTCGACTTTTGCTATGCACATTGAGGAATACTGTAATTTCTAATGATTTATTACTTAAGAGAGAGGAACCATGTACTGTTAAAATAAATTACAAGATCATGTACATTTAAGTATAATTTTATAAGAGCTTGTTGGTGAGGAGAGAAGAGAGGAATCAACAATCAAATGAACATGGAAAGCGGCCGCTGTCAAAGATTTTGATATTTTAGAGTAGAATCATTATTACAAACATAAGCATCATGGAATTGTGCAGTCAAGTGAGAGTGAATACAAAGGGACAGTAAATGTGCCCTTCTGAGACATGACAGTGCCGCATTGAAGTTCTGGACTTTGTCTTGGTGCAGTTGGTGGTGTGGTTGTTGGAGATAATAGATAATATAATGTTCTAGTATTGTGTTTTATCGTACGAGTTGCAGGTTGGAACAAATAGAATAAAGAGTTGCAGCACGTTGTGTTTTACCCTGCCTGACGAGTCTGGAGCTAACATTCCAACAACAGTTGGCCAAGATGTCGAAACCTACAGAACTGGAATCTCTACGCCGTCTGAGAGGAACAGCGAAAGGGAAGTTAAGTAGGAAATGCAAATTATTACGAGAACAAGTAAGTGAAAATTCATCATGGGACCAAATTGAGTCGTACTATATGGAGGTTCAGAAAGCTTTCAGTGAGTTAGAAATATTACATGGAAAAGTAACTGAAAATATGTGCCAAAGTGTAGAAGAAAATTTTGATAAGAAGCTAGAGGAAGAGGAACTCTATATAGAACAGGCTGAAATAATAAAAAATGAAGCATATGCTCAGCTAATGGCTAGCCGAAAGAAAGTGGAAGAGGAATGTGCAACTGAGAAGTTAAAGATTAAAGTAAAGCCATTGGATCCTCCAAAATTTGATGGAGATATCCGACAATATCAAACTTTTCGTAGCAACTATAGAAAGATTATGACGGAAACTTATGGGAAGAATGCCTATGCATTATTTCAGTGTTTGTCAGGAGAAGCATTAAGTGTTGTTCATGGGGTGGAGGATGATTTTGATAAAATGTTTTATCGTCTTGATCAGAGATATGCTGATCCGATTAGACTAACGGATTGCATAATTGAACAGCTAAGAAAACTAAAACCAATCCCTGAAGGTGACACTATTAAATTTATTGATGCAGTAAATGTGATTGAAAATTGTTGGACAGACATGCAGAGAAATCAATTAAAGGAACAAATGTCTACTGTGATTGTAATAAGTTTGATTGAGAAAATATTGCCTTCACAACAAAGGCGGGATTGGACAAGAATTTATCAAGACTTGACGGACAAATCAAGTGCCTTCCCAAACCTTATGGAATTCTTGTTGAAAGAAAGACAAATACTGGATTATATGGACAAAGATGTACGCAAATTTAGTCAACCAAATAAAGCAAGTGTACATAATGTAGAAGTAAGTGAGAGGGATGACCCTTTTATTAGTGCCTTACAAAAATTGCAAATTCAACAAACCGAACACCAGGCAAATATAGAAAATATTTTGCAAAGGATGACTCAGTTTATAACAGGGAATCCCAAAGTAACACAATCTAGATTTCCTTTGGGTAATAGTATTGTTGGTACCATAATTCAGATAATCATTCGATCCATAAATGTTCCGTATTCCATAACTTGGAACCTACAGTTAAGATGGATGTGTTGAAGAAAAACTTTATATGCTTTCATTGTTTGGGTAAAGGGCACAGTCAGAAAAATTGCCATGAAAGGAGAACATGTTTTATCAAAATGAAACATGGTAATGTTTGCGGTAAACCACATCATCCTAAATTACACTACCTGTTTTCACAAATCAATCCAAATGAAGTGAATATCAATATCAACAAATCAGAGAATTCTATTTTATTAATGATTGGACAAGTTCACTGCAAAGACAGGGAAATTGTTACTCTGTTTGACCCTGGAAGCACTAATAGTTTGATTACACACAGTAAAGCTCGAGAACTTGGTTTGTGTGGGATTCCTTATAACATTACCATGGTGACAGTAGGAAATGTTTGTGATACTGTTTCTACCAAACTTTATGAAGTCCCTCTCATAGATGTCACAGGGAAGATAAGGTCAGTACATTGTGTAGGGATTGACGATATTACTTCTGAAGTGAAACCAGTAGACATAAGTGAAATACACTATATATTCGATGTCTCCACAAATACTGACATATTAAGACCTCAAGGGAAAGTAGACTTATTAATAGGTGCGGATAATTGTGACATGATCCCAAGTGTTGTGAAAACGGTAGGGAAATTACAACTTATGAAAGGACCTTTTGGTTACTGCATCAGAGGTTCACATCAGAACTTCAAGGATAATAATACTAGATATTATAGTGCAAAGATAAATCATATACAGATTAACCGAGAATTAGATGCACTACATGGAGAACCTTGGAAAACTTTAAAGGAAGATTTGGATAATTTTTTCACAGTGGATCATTTAGGGACTAATTGTAAACTTCAGTGTGATAACTGTAGTAATTGTAACAAATGTAGTAGAGAATTGGACATTACTATAAAGGAGGAAGAAGAAATGAAATTAATACTCAAGGGTCTTAATCATCAAGAAAGGGAGAAGGTTTGGGTAGCACACTATCCTTGGATAAAGGATCCATATCTTCTCCCTAATAACTTTGCAGCTACAATAATGAGATTAAAGGGAACTGAAAGACGATTAAGAAAATTAGGTGAAATGTCTTCAAAAGCATATAAAGAACAAATTGATGATATGCTGAAAAGAGGAGTTGCAAAGAAATTAACGAAAGATGAAATTAGGCATTATTCGGGCCCAGTACATTATGTTTCGCATCACGAAATCTTGAAACCTGATTCCATTTCAACACCAACACGTATTGTGTTCAATTCTTCTGCTTCTTACAATGGACATATTTTGAATCACTACTGGGCTAAGGGCCCTAATGTATTAAACAACCTCTTTGGTTTATTACTTAGATTTAGAGAGAATCCTATTGCATTTATCGGAGATATTTCAAAGATGTTTAATAGTATAAGACTTTCAGAATTTGACTGTCATGTTCACAGATTTTTATGGAGAGGTTTAGAAGATCGTCCTCCTGATCATTATGCTTTGACAGCAGTTCCATTTGGAGACATTTGTAGTCCTGCTATTGCAGTATTGGCCATGAGACAAACAGCATATAAATATAAAGAAAGATTTCCTGAGGCTGCGAATGTTATTATAGGTGACAGTTACATGGATGACATAATTCATAGTGCAGACAACATTGATGATGCTATTGAATGCATGAATGATATTGAATATATTTTAAAACAAGGTAGTTTCCATATTAAGAAATGGGTAATGAATGGGAATCCACATACTGAGAATGACATTAATCTTTTGAATACTGAAGGAGAAAAGGTACTCGGCATAATGTGGAATCCTGAAAGAGATGAAATGTGGTTTAAAACAAATTTGAGATTCATGCCGAAGAGGGAATCCAAGATTTCTTGTGTAACGGTTAGATTAGAGACTCTTGATAAGGAATTCCCTGAGATATTAACTAAAAGACAAGTTCTCAGCCAGATAGCTACCATTTTTGATCCCATGGGATATGCTGCCCTATCATATTATGTGGAAAATTATTAATGAGAGAGGTTATTGTATACTTGGATGAGATGGGAAAGAAACTTGACTGGGATGATCCATTGCCTAGAAATCTCAGGGAAAAATGGTATATATTCTTTAAGAGTATATTCCAATTGGAAAACTTATGCATACCAAGATGCATTAGAAATACCTCTCTTATTGAACCTAGTTTAATAATATTTTCTGATGCTAGTACCCAAGCCTATTCTGCATGTGCCTATGCTCGTTGGCAAGTTGATAGAGGAAATTATGAATCTAGACTACTTGCATCAAAGAGTAGACTCGCTCCTGTAAAGCAGCAAACTATACCTAAACTTGAACTTTCTAGTGCTGTTCTGGGTGTCCGTCTCCGTAACGCAATTATTAAGGAGAGCAGCATCCAGTATCATAAAGTGTATCATCTTACAGATTCTGAAATTATACTTGCTCAATTATGAAGCCTAACATTTCTGTTGGTACATACGTTGCTAATAGGATATCAGAAATTAAAGAAACCACCAGTAATGAAGAATGGCATTGGATCCCTACAGACAGTAATGTAGCTGATTTATTGACTCGACCTGATCCTACCATTGACATTAGCTCTGAATCGAAATGGCAGAAAGGGCCACCTTTTTTAAAGTTGCCTTATTCACAGTGGCCTGTTAAATCTATACCACTAAAATCAGAAGAGACCGTCATTAGTAATACTATTGAGATTAATAGTTTAGACACAGAGACAACTTTATTTGATATTGAAGGTTTTCAGTCCTATCGGAAACTCATTTATGTTACTGCCAGAATAATTAATGCCTTTCGCCAGTGCTCTTTCAAAGCTATAAAGGACCTGCCAACTATAGAGGAATTAAATGCTGCAGAGACAATTTGGATTAAACGTATACAAGCCCCTTTATTATTGAACTGGAAAAGGAGATTTAAGCGTTTAGGTCCATTTATGAAGAATGATACATTATATGTAGGTGCTAGAATTGCAATATGGATGAAAAACAACTATAATAATGAATCATTTATATTGTTGCCTACAAAACATAAATTTACTGAGTTATGTATTAAAGAATTTCATGATAGGGATCATGCCGGAATAGAGACTACCCTGTGCAAACTGCAAAATAAATTTTGGATACCCCAAGCAAGGAGATTGATTAGGAGAATTAAAAGTCAATGTGTGACATGTAGAAAATTAGAAAGGAAGATAATAGGACAAAGCATGGGACCTGTACCCAAGGAGAGATTGAAACCTTCCCCTCCCTTTTATCATGCAGCATTAGATTTATTTGGTCCTTTATTGATAAAGGACACCGTCAAAGGGAGATGTAAAAAGAAGGTATATGGAGTTATGATAAATTGTCTTAGTTCAAGAGCCTCTTATGTTGATTTAATTGAAGGCTATGATGCAGATAGCTTTATAACAACACTGCGCAGATTTACAGCATTAAGAGGCTTCCCAAGGTCAATATATTCTGATTGTGGGACTCAGTTGAAATTAGCAAGTAAAGAGCTAACCCAATTTGGTTTAAATGGTGGAATGGAATGGAACTTTACAAAATCAGCAGATGCTCCATGGGAGAATGGTTGCTCAGAAGCCCTAGTAAAATTAGTCAAGAAAACTATCGCTAGAGTAATTGGCAATGCTACCCTAACATTTGGGGAATTACAAACTGTAATGTTTGAAATTGCTAATATATTGAATGAAAGGCCAATAGGTATGAAAAATGGCTCTAGTGCAGTTCAGGGTTCATACCTCTGTCCAAATGATCTGATTTTAGGACGTGCAAGTGTTAAAGCACCAGAAGGAATATTTACACATAATGTTAGTACAAAGTCACGGCAGAATTTTATTAATGATATTGTGAAATCGTTTTGGAAGAAATGGATGATCCATTATTTTCCAACTCTCATAATACAACAGAAATGGCATTGTGAAAAAAGAAACCTAAGAGTAGGAGATGTTGTTATTGTGCAAGATCAAAATACGATAAAGGGGACATGGAAATTAGCTGAAGTTTGTAGCATTATACCCAGTTCAGATGGTAAAGTCAGGGATGTCGAAATTAGATACAAAATACAGAAAGAGAATGGAGACTATGAGGGTCAACAAGATGTAAGAGTAAATAGATCAGTCCACAATTAGTACTTATTTTACCTGTTGAAGATCAATAATTCTTGGCGGGGGGGAATGTAACACGATTCTTGAATCGTATTGAGTAAATTAGTTTCCCCTTATGTTTAATTACATTTTCTGTTTTATGTGAAGTTCCAACATTATCTTCTGGAATATTCGTTTTATATGTTTATAAACCATTATAAACAATCTTCGACTTTTGCTATGCACATTGAGGAATACTGTAATTTCTAATGATTTATTACTTAAGAGAGAGGAACCATGTACTGTTAAAATAAATTACAAGATCATGTACATTTAAGTATATTTTTATAAAGAGCTTGTTGGTGAGGAGAGAAGAGAGGAATCAACAATCAAATGAACATGGAAAGCGGCCGCTGTCAAAGATTTTGATATTTTAGAGTAGAATCATTATTACAAACATAAGCATCATGGAATTGTGCAGTCAAGTGAGAGTGAATACAAAGGGACAGTAAATGTGCCCTTCTGAGACATGACAGTGCCGCATTGAAGTTCTGGACTTTGTCTTGGTGCAGTTGGTGGTGTCGACAATGTTGTTGGAACAAATAGAATAAAGAGTTGCAGCACGTTGTGTTTTACCCTGCCTGACGAGTCTGGAGCTAACAATTATTATTATTATTAGTAGTAGTAGTAGTAGTAGTAGTATAATTATTAATATTATTATTGTTATGAATATTACTATTACTATTTTTATTGTTTCCATTATTATTATTATTATTTATTATTATTATATTATTATTATTATTACTATCCTTATTGTTTTATTAATGTTATTTTCACTATTATTATTATTGTTATTTTTTTCTGATTATCCTCATTATCATCATTATTATTTTTTTATCATTATTATTATAATTATTATAATGATTATTATTATTGCTATTGTTATCATTATTATTATTATCACTATTATCATTATTATTATTATTATTATTATTATTATTATTATTATTATTATTATTATTATTATTATTATTATTGTGGTTGTTGTTTTTATTATTGTTATTGTTATTGTTATTGTTATTATTATTATTTATTATTGTGGTTGTTTTATTATTGTTATTGTTATTGTTATTGTTATTGTTATTATTATTATTATTATTATTATTATCATTATCATCATTATCATTATCAGTATTATTATCATTATCATTATTATTATCGTTGTTGTTGTTTTTGTTGTTGCTGTTGTTGTTGCTATTGTTATTATTATTATTATTATTATTATTATTATTATTATCATTATTATTATCATTATCATTATTATCATTATTATTATAATCATTATAATTATTATTATTATTATCATTATTGTTATTATTATTATTATTATTATTATTATTATTATTATTATTATCATTATTATTATTATTATTATTTATTATTGTAGTTGTAGTTGTTTTATTATTGTAATTGTTATTGTTATTGTTATTATTATTATTATTACTCTTATTATCATTATTAGAATTATTATCATTATTATCATTATCATTATCATTATCATTATCATTATCATTATCATTATCATTATCATTATCTTTATCATTATCATTATCATTATCATTATCATTATCATTATCATTATCATTATCATTATCATTATCATTATCATCATTATTGTTGTTATTATTATTATTATTATTATCATTATTATTATTATCATTATTATAATTTTCAATATATAACCATACGCTATTATCTTATTCTATCATTATAATCATCTTTATTTGCATCATTACTATTATTGTCATCATTATCGTTTTGCCATAATTACCATTATTATTATCATTGTTATTATTATAATTTTTTGGCTATCCTTGTTTTTATTATCATCATCATTATTATTGTTATTACAATCATCATTGTTATCATTTGTATTATAACTGTTATTATTATGATTATTGCATTATCAATATTATTATCATTATCATTATCATTATCATTATCATTATCATTATTATTATATTATTATTATTATTATTATTATTATTATTATTATTATTGCTAATGATATTATCATTATCTTATTTTTTGTTATTATCATTATTATCATTAGCAGTAGTAGTAGCAATGATAGTAGTAGTAGTAGTATCATTATCATTATCATTATCATTGTCATTATCAACACCATTATCATCATTATCTTTATGGTTGATGTAGTTGCTGTTGTTATGATTATTATTATCTTTACTATTATTATCATTATCATTATTCTACCATTATCATTGCTATCAATATTATTATTGTTTATATTATTATCATTATTATTATCATCATCATTATCATTATCGTTATCATTAACATTATCATTATTACCATAATCATCATTATTAGTAATATAATTATTAATATTAATATCATTATTATGACCATTATCTGTATTACTATTATTATAATTACCATCATTAGTACCATCATTATGATTATCAGTATCATTATTAACAGTACTATAGCAGAGGAACGAGAATTAGATTTTTGTTCTGCAGGACACAATATTTGGAATATAAAAATATATTCCACTAGGTAAGAGTCAGCATATGAGGGCGAATGCATCATTATAATGTTTCAAGTAATGTTGTTTACATACAGATCAACACGAATATGTGAACAGTAATTTGCACTTTTGTATCAAATTTCGTTAGCTTTCTGTATCGTATTTCCCGGAATTTTGTACGACATAGAAATGTTTCATTTGTGGTATCATGAATTGGATATTCTTTCTTATCATGATATATAACATTTGATTTTACATATCCGTCTTTTATTATCAACATCTTATACACATATATCCGTTTATTTACCTAATACTGCTATCAGTATTTTCTCCCATACCTACCCGCATATTCATCTTGTAAAGCTACACGTATTTACTCAAATATCTCTCTATCTAACTTTTTTTCAATATTCTATCTACATTCTCTGTACTTGTATTGGTATATCAAGGATGAAATGCTGCCTTTGCACGTGATCAGTGAATACATAATTGTTGTATATAAATTATCTTTAAATCTCATTAGTCAGTTGAGCAAAAATTAGGTCTCCCTTGATTGGCAGATTGTTCTGCATAAATAGCCTTCGTTATGCATTGATTCATATGTGCAAATCTGTTTATGCTAATTGCTCATGAACACGAGTGGTTCTACGTATAAAACCTTATGATCTAGTTTACTGAACAAATATTGCTCTTGCTTTCGTAAAAAAGAGGTGGGAATGATGATATTATTTCGCTCTATAGCAATCTATATCCGAAATTTATTCTTCAAACATATGAAAAACTATGACTGATGAATTAAGAAATGTGATAGCATTCGTAGTTTCAGTATATGGGGAAAATTATAATGATGAATATGATAATGAGAATAATAATGATAATAATAACAGTTGCTGTTAGCATCCTCATCATCACCATCATCAATCCTTTTCATCTTCATCTTCATCTTCATCATTCTCATTCTCATTCTCATTATCATCATCATCATCATAATTTTCTTCATCCATATCTTCTTTTCATCTTCATCATCGTTATCGTTACCACTATCATCTCTGAGGAAGAAGGGTTACCTTTCCGCGTCTCCACTGGTAGGGACCCGCGACCAGCGCTCGAAACCTACAGGACAGTTGACCCAGCACACTTGACCGGGGCCCACGGCCCTGACCACACCTCTCCTTGGGGGCGCGCCCCGCTCGGCGCACCTCTTGGGCTTCCTTGCCCACAACAACCCGCGCCACGCTACCTAACAGCCACTTCTATCAATAAACAGCTGAATAGTGTCTCCATAACCCACCAAATCAGGGCAACACAAAACCCCTGACAACTGGTGGCAGCGGCGGCATGACACAAACAAGCCTCCGAAAAACTAAGTACACCATTGGCAATTTCCTTTTCTTTCCCCTTTCTTCGCCTATGTGTGCATGCCGTTTTTTTTTACAAGTGCAGTGATTTTTTTTCAAATATCTACTAAAGTGTTCGTGGTAAGTGCATTTTCTTTTCTTCTTTCTGTTATCTACCATGTTTTTTTCTCGTCATGGTAGATCGTCGCTTTTTTTAAGGGAATCATTTTTATCACTTGCGAGAGTGCATTTTCTTTCTTTCATTTATGTGGGTGAACTAGACCGTGCATTTTTTCTTTAAATTAACCATACTAAGCCACGTGGCTAGAGTTACAAGTATTGCCATATATTTGGTATATTTTCTTATTCTTATTATCTTCCAGTGTATAAACCGACGCTATATCGACGTTAATTTCGCATATTACTAAGTGCATTTATTTAGGCTCGGTTTAAATATGCATTTGTGGGATATTTTGGAATATTTAAATAATTTAGTTAAATTATGCACAAACTTTTTCTCTTTCCGACGCTTCCCACCTATACCCGTTCCTTACACTCCCGCTATTACTATCACTACCATCCTAATCCCCCTCCCTCTCTCCTAACCTCTACCCGTTAATCCCCCCTTCCTCTCTACCTATTTTCAATATTTCTAATCCACTAGCGTTAAATTAGTTTTTTTTTGTAGTGATAACGTTTTATAGTTTTTCGTATCTATATGTATACAAAAAAAGTATGCCTTGTTCAGTTGTATGTTTATGTGAATATCAACTTCATTATTTTCATGTATAAATTGTTATATTCGTTTCCTAGTGCGAGTGACTTCACAAAGGTCACGTCACGGTCAGGTCTTGTCACAAGATGACACATCTCACCTTAGTGCTGTTGCGAATTATGTTCCACATTTTTTTTCTATTCGCCTTCTTTATAGATATAATTTTTCTATAATTATTCATGTTCATTTATCTGTAATTTGATTATTGTGTACTTGTTTTTCACAATATTATTTAGTCTCGTATATACTAGCTCTTGCTATTTTAACGTATATTTGGTTAATGACCTCACTTGACCTTACTCAGGTAAAATACCCCTCCCCCACCATCTGACTTCGCCCAACTTAAATTACATTTAAGCTATTTGTATTTATATCTTATTAAGTTATCTCCGTGTTAGATATTAATTATATTATACAGCTACTACGATTTCATATTGTTCGTGATTTTCGTTATCTTAATCACGAACCTCACATCATCATTATTGCATGGTCCTTGGTGACGACCCACAGCTGGGTATGGACATGTAATTAGGCTTATAATTAATGTTAAGTTGTTCTCATGTGCCGAGTCGCACACCTATCGTCCAGGCGATCTCAGCGCCACGCGCCTTCTTGTACGACTATACGTGAGAGATTATCGCTGGTATTTCCCAACAAGACGGGATGTCCAACTTGCGTTCTGCGTATGAGTTCGTTCGATGATATCCCTTCTACGGTTGGGCCCTTCATCACTATTCCTCAGGGAATCTATTTTAAGTTTAAGTATCACTTACAACCACGAGGGTTGTCTTTCGGGTCAGTTGTCTCAGGGAAGCTGACCCAAACCAGTCACCGTTTCATTCATTTTACGTACTAATTAAAGTACCATTTTTATGATTTCGCATAGTAGTTGATTAATATTGAAATTAACGTAAGTTCTTTGTTATTAGTGTGAATGTTTTTTTTCGT